CCAAGGAGCTCAGATGCCTCTGTGAGGGGAACCTGGTTACAACACTCTGTCCCCTGACCTCATTGCACCATGTCCTTATTGTGCAGCGTGTGGGATGCTGACTTGCCTCCCTCAGCTGTAAAACTTTGACCAGTCAGCCTGTGGAATCTGTTTTGCCCAATTTGGATGGAGTATTTTGATTTTTATCAGAGTCTTCTCCAAGGTTTTGATGTCTTCAGAGTTTGCCAGGAAATGGTTTCTAACCTTTGTTTGCAGTTGCAAGCCTTTTTCAAAAAATATTATAATCCATACATATTGTGTAATGTAATTTAATGTGAATTTAAACAAGCACATACATGTGTAAGTGTGTGTGTCACATATGACAAAAACACTTGGATCTGGGAGCAGGCTTTCCAGGTAATCTTGTCAGGAGATGGTATCCAAAGTGTCCTTATAAAAGGTGGGGACAAACTTTGTAGCAGGACCTGTTGCAGTGGGCCAAAGGGTGGCGGTTTGAAACTAAAAGAGTGCGGATTTAGATTTATTAGAAGTGTTTTACAGTGAGGGTGCTGAGGCCCTGGCACAGGTTATCCAAAGAAACTGTGTCTGCCCCGCCCCTGGAAGTGTCCAAGGCCAGGTTGGATGGGGCTTGGAGAACCTGGGCCAGTGGAAGGTGTCCCTGCCCGTGGCAGGGGGTGGGATGAGATGAGCTCTGATGTTCCTCCCAACCTGAACTGTTCTGCGATCTTTCTACAAGTGCCATAAGCATTTTCTTGGCAGCTTGAAATGTCTTAAAGTGCATTTAGATTTTTGTTACATTGAAGTACGAACTGTTCTTTGGAAAAAAAAAGAAAGTGAATGCTAGGTTAATTTTTGTGGGACTGAGGTAAAAAGCTTTTTAAGGTTCACCTAAAATAAACTCCTGTTAAATGTAAATAGTGTATGTTATCCTTGCAAGATTTGTTGAGGAAATTAGGGAGAATTTGCGTTGCTCTCTCTGTCGCTTGGCTCTGCCACGCACCCACTGCTGCTCAATTTGTGGTGCTCTCTGTTTACCAGGGCCAAATGAGTCCTCTGTGTGTTTCCAAATTTATAGTAATTTAGTCCCTCACATAATGTTCTCTGCTTAAATGTTTCGTAATTAGTAGAAACCAGGTAGAGTGGTTTTGTCTGAGTCATTTTAGATTTGCTTGAGGATGTTTATTTTTCAAGCTACTGCAAATACGATGTTTTTTATTTTCCAGCTTTATTTTTTTAACTCGTGTGTGTCCTTCATGCAGTGTTTTTCGTCTCTCTTCCCCACAGTTCTGATGTATCCACCTACCCAAAAGGTCTATAAATAAATCTGAGTGCTGTGTAAAATTGTTTTCTCCTGAGCAGCAGCTGTTTGGCCTCTGTGTGTCTGTGCCCAAAGTGCTGGGGACATCCAGCGGCTGCAAAACACTTCATGACAGTGTTTTGCAACAGTGCAATAAAATGCTTAATGGTGATCCCTGAGGAGATGACGGGCCAGTCTGGCCTCAGGGGTGGTTTTGGTGGCGGGTTTGGAGCTGACCACGTTGGTCTTTGGACAGTTGGGCCCTTGGCTGCTCTTTCAGAACCTTGAGGCGTGTGCTGCCACAGTTGTAAGGGTTCTTGCAAGCTGTGACTCTTTCTCTCTGTCCTGCAGGCCTGGCAGTTATGCATTCCCAAAGCACAAACCAGCTGGACGTGGGGAACAATCCCCGTGTGGGCACCAAGCGCTACATGGCCCCGGAGGTGCTGGACGAGACGATCCAGGCAGACTGCTTCGACTCCTACAAGCGGGTGGACATCTGGGCCTTCGGGCTGGTGCTCTGGGAGGTGGCCAGGCGCATGGTTAGCAACGGTGAGTGCCTGGGACCCTTCCCTGGCCTCTGGCAGGGGTGAGGAAACGGCAATTCACGGCAAAGCACCTGCCACCAGAGCACAGGAACATGCTGGACCTCCGCAGCAGTGTGGCTCCTGAGGCTTGGAGGAAGCTGTTGGTGTGTTGGGTACAGCGGCCCAATCTTGCTGCCATTTCTGTTAAGGCAGAGAAGAAAGAGGGTCCTCTGCTCATTTTAAACCCTGGTGAGACCTAATTCATACCAAATAGTCAAAAATTTAGATCATAAGGTCTCCACACTTCTACCACTTAAACCATAGTGAATACTTGTAGGAAGCTATGACAAACCCTAAGAAACAGAAGGCAATTATGTTGGAAGTGCAGAACTTGTCAGAATTCTTGGCTGTTCTTCACCGAGTTAAATGCATTCCCAAGGCAGGACTTGGTCCAGGTGCAGTTCTGCTTGGGAAGGTTGTTCCTGCCATCCTGTCTAGAGTGCAGGGTTTCTTCCTCGCTCTTGGCAAGGGAGCCTGAATTTAGGAACCTTTCAGCTGGGTGTGATTCCTGCTCAGTTCAGAAGTCCTCTCTGACTTCTAGACCTCTAGGTTGTGCTCTCTGGACCCAGGTGGGCAGGAGAAGGTGAGGATGCCCTTCAGACGTGTGCAGACCCTGGCAGGGATGGGTCGTTCATTTACATCTTTAAATATGAGGAAATTGCGGATTGTCACACACATTTGTTTACTCTGTGTCTGATCTGTTCCCACTAAGCCCAAATCTTGTGAAGGTGTGTGTGGCTAGTTAGAGGAAGGAGGAAAGGCTGTGAATATGTGGCATTAATGTTTCTGGGGATGTTTATTGGCACAGGTGTGTCACAGGCAGATGAAGACCTGCTGGTTGCAGTGTGCAGTGTTTGGTGCTGGGCTGCAACACATCAGTGTCAGCGCCTGGAGAATTTCAGCTGGAGCTTTGGTGTTCTGGGTGCAGTTTTATATCCTGCACTGTCTGTCTGGGCAGTCTGTGAGCAGGAGTTGATGCATTCCTGTGCCAGAGGTGATGCTCGTGTGGTGGGGAGGGAAGGTGTAGAGCTGTAGTTGATTTGAGGGCACACAGCAGCCCTGGGGGAAAGCAGGACCGTGTGTTGGAGATGACAGAAGTCACCTTAAAGCTGTGCAGGAAGGCCAGGCTGGTTGTGCTGCAGGACCTGGGTCCCCCAGGGGCGGCACGAGGGCAGCATGTCACGGGTCAGAGATGCTGAGAGGGCACAGTGCTGTGGGCCAGGGGTTGAGTGCCTCGCTGGCACGGAGCTGCTGCGGAGCCTGGTGGTCCCAGGGGTCGGGGTGTTGGGCCCTGGTAGCTCAGAGCACTCCAGAGTCACTACTGGAGCAAAGGCCAGACCCTCTGCCTTCACACTGAGAACTGCACGTCATATCTGCACAGCCAGCTCTGTGCCCTGCGCTTGGGAAAGGCCACGTGGAAACCCTGAACGAGAGCCAGGCTCTCTCTGCAGTGATAAAGTTCATCTGGAATGTCCTCACTCACGGCCCTGGAGCGTGTTCAGAGCTGTGTGACACAGCTGGGGTTGGGTGCTTGGCTCGTGCCAGGCCCCAGCGTTACCTGAAGGGCAGGTGTGGGCACTGAGGGCACAGGGTGGGTGTGTTCCTGAGGCCTCACAGCGCTCTGGGGGGAGCAGGAGAAGGGTAAGGACAAGAATTCAGCCCAGTCGGTGATGTTTGGTAAATGCAGTTGGGAATTGGTCTTCCTGAAGACTATTTCCCTTTTTGACTAGTCATTGCAGACAGGGATTTACAGATTTTTACAGCATATCCATGGGAATATCTGGGATTTTGATCTTCATCTGCAATAGAACAAGAAAACTAAAACTCAGAACTTTGCCATAGCAAAGACTGAGAACCTCTTTTCAACCTCAGTCTCTCCAGAGCATTAGAGATGCTCCTGGATTTCGTGTCTGGCTCTGGGACAGCTGCCAGCTCAGTGTGTCGTGCCCAGCTGTCAGCAGCAACCATTTGATGTTCCCGCTGGACCCAGAGGGCCTCATTAGCTCCGGGTTTCTCCGGGAGGCTGACCCAAATGCCTGTCTTTGAACACCGGCCTGGAAATTGGCTTCTTGAGAAAGTTGGGCTCCCTGCAGATGGTTTGTGAGCCTGATGCAGTGACTGGGGAGCCTGGTGCAGTGAGGAAGCAGAGCTCTGTGCCTGCCTTGGGGAGTGGGCAGGGGAATTGAGCCTGGCAGCGCTCTGGGAGTGGGGTGCAGGCAGGGGGAACACACACACACTCCTCTTCCAGTGCTGAAGCCTAGGGAATGGCAGGCTGTTGGTGTAAGGGCCAGGCTGGGCAGGGCTTGGAGCATCCTGGGCTAGTGGAAGGTGTCCCTGCCCATGGCAGGGGGTGGAATGAGAGGAGCTTCAAGGTCCCTCCCAACCCAAACCATTCCATCAGTCTATGAAGATGCATTTAGCCCCTCAGATGTTTGGCTTTGTGATGGCATGTGGTACCAGTTACCCTGGGGATTTTACTGTTTTCATAACAAGAAATGAAATGATTTGAAGCACTAGCACAAGGGTCTGTGGATGCCAATGTATTATTGGACCCTTCCAGGAATGACAAAAGCACCGAGGTGTGTGGTGAGCCTGGTAAAAACCACAGTGCAGACCTTACATTTTTCTATTTGCTGGTAGAAATCCCAGTTTGTGATAGGCAGAAAAGCTCTGTGTGTTACAAAATACGGCCCTTTGGCAAGGGATTTACTTCTCATCCTTTCAGCTTCAGCATCTGCAAAGTGGGTATAGCTCTTACTTTGTGAACTTGTCGTATGAGCCAATTAATTAACACTGTGGGTAGAAGAAGCTGTTCCTGTGGCACTAAGTGCTCTTCTGGTGTTCAGTGGCTGTGTGACACTGTGGGATTGACTTCTAAAGGATTTGTGTGCTTCTTAAAACACACGGGTCCCGTGTTCCCTCTGTCCCTGTGAAAATGCTGTTCACTGGCACAGCCGTTCAGTAATGCCTGTTTGTGTCTCACCAGGTATTGTGGAAGACTACAAACCACCCTTTTATGACCTGGTTCCCAACGATCCCAGTTTTGAAGACATGAGGAAAGTGGTCTGTGTGGATCAGCAGAGGCCCAACATTCCCAACAGATGGTTCTCAGACCCGGTCAGTGGGGGCTGGGGGGGCTGGCACGTGCTGACCTTTGTTCTTTGACAGTCACAGGAGTTATTTTCAGTTGTCCCTTGCAGTGGAAGTGATCCCGATGGGCCCTGTCAGCAGCATCACCTGTGCAGGTGTTGGGGGTGGGCTGAGCAAACAGGACTGCCAGGTCTGAGCCAGTCACAGATCGGCTGTTTACGAGCAGGATTTAGCAATAACTCTTACAACTGCTCTTCCTGGGTCGTTGTTCTCCCTCCAAGGGGAAATCAAGGGGAGGGAAGTCAGACCAGGACTTTCTGTGGCTTACAGTCCCACAGATTTAGAACAGAATGCTGGTTTCTCCTGCCTACAGAATAAGGGGCTGTTGTTCTTTTTGGAAGGCTGGTGCTGAAGTTTATTTTTCAGACTGGCCTCTGCAGTCTGCCCAGCTGTTCTGTCCTTACCACTAAAGCTGTGGAGGTCAGTGTGAATCTGCAGGGCTGGCCATCTCCAAAGTTTGGGTGTGGAGCTGTGCCCTCTGCTGTCCCAACACCCAGCTGGGAGTCTGGCCAGGTAAACCTGTGCTGGGCATGATGGAATCACAGGCAGAAAATCTGCACCTTCTCGTCTGCCCTCTTGGGTCTGCAGGACTTGGTGTCATTGAAAAGAGATTCTGTGGAGTGTTTTCTTAATTAGGAAAGAAACTCCAAACCTCCATTGTTTAAGGTTACCCTGGCTGATCACTCCAGTCAGCCCAGGGGCTGGTTGTGCTCTTTAACCAAGTTATCAGACTTTAAAGGCTTTTGAACACACAGAAGATCTGCATTTGCTGGGTAGCAGGAAACTCTGAAAATGGAGTGTAATTAAACAATAAATCCTCTGTGAGTGCTTGACCCCAGCCAGTGCTTCCTTGGCTTGTGTGCTGTGCACTTACCCTGGTGTTCTGTGGTCTCTGTTGGTTCCCAGACGTTAACGTCCCTCGCCAAGCTGATGAAGGAGTGCTGGTACCAGAACCCATCCGCCAGACTGACAGCCCTGCGCATCAAAAAGACTTTGACCAAAATTGACAATTCCTTAGACAAACTGAAAGCTGACTGTTGACCCTCTGCTCGTGGTGCTGTCCCCGCAGGAAGGCACTGGGCTGGCCCGCAGGGCTCTGGTGCCCACGGGGCTGCTCGGAGCGGCAGTTCTGGGGAGCAGCTGTGGGAACACTGGGACCCCTGGACTGCTCGGACACAGCTGCACCCACCCCTGGGGAGCGCTGAGGACTCAGCTGGATGTGCTGTTGCTGAGGTAGTGGCCTGAAGGAAGACAGAGAAATCCTAAGACAAGATCAGGGCATTAAACAATGGCTTTGAACAGCTTTTTTCTTTTTTTTTTTTTTTTTCTCTTTTTTTTTTTTTTTTTTTTTTTTATTTTAATTCTCCTAATCACTCCCAGGGTGAATACGTGGAAGTGGTAAATTTTAATCAGCAATATTGCCTGTGCTTCTCTTCTTTATTGCACTAGGAATTCTTTGCATTCCTTACTTGCACTGTCACTGTTAATTTTAATGACATGACTTGCCAAAAATACGATTGGCTGTATCCTGCATTGATCTGTACCCGAGTAATAGGAAAAGAATTCGGTAAACTGAAAATGTAACTGTCAGACTTTAGCTGCATTTTACATGTGTACTGATGTTTACAATAATGCTGAACATTAGGAATTTCTCGTTTATCCAAAACTTGCAAATTATTTATTACTAGTGCACTTGCCAGTTTTTTAAACTGTAAAATAAGTGCATAAAGTTAAAGCTTATTTTTATGTGGCCTCTTTCATGATTTCTTACACGGACGTTTTTTGTAACACAATATAACCTGAAACATGAATTGTTTTATGTATTATCATATTACAACTCGATAGTCACATTTTAAGTGCTTCACATTTGTAGGTGTGTGGTCTGTACCATATTTTCAGTTGGAATATGGAACGTATATATAGCCATTTCCCACAGGACCTTGCGTCTGGCATCTTACTGATCTGGGAAAGGAAAGCAATGGAGGAGTTAACTAGAATTTTAGGTCATGAATGCTGTGGGGAAAATGCATTTTATTTCTTCTAAGCTATATAATATGCATTTAAACTCTGCCAGAAAAATAACTATTTTGTTTTAATCTACTTTTTCTATTTAGTAGTTATTTGTATAAATTAAATAGAATGTTTTCAAGTCAAACCACAGTGTGCTTTAGTTCTCTTACTGCCCATCAGCAAAGAGGTGCCCCCAGTGCAGCCGTGGGGACCCTGGGCAGTGCCTGGGGGGTCCAGGCTGGTGCCAGGGGAAGTCTGAGTTGCTGAGGCTCTACCAGGGCCTGGGCTGTTCCTCTGTGCTGAACTGGGTCCCAGAAGGGCACTGCAGGGAGGTGCTGGGCTGTCCTTGCAGGGCACAGCAGCCCTGCCCTCCCCCTGGTCCCTGATCCCGGCCTCAGGGGGGGAACTCTGCTCTGAGCAGTTCTCTCTGCCTGCCTGCCTTTGTTCTGCCCAGTGGAGAGGTGCCCAGGAAGGGGCAGTGCCCTCTCATCCTTGGAAAAGAGCTCCTTTATCCATGGGATTAGAATGCCCTGGGTGGCCCCAGGCCCTGGGCAGTGATCAGCCACCTGCAGATGCTTCTTCTCTGGGGTAAAACTCTTCTCCAGGGTTCCCTTCAATGCTTCAAGTCCGCCAGGTTCTGCTCTGCTGCCTGTCCCTAACTTTTCCTTCCCAGCCCCATCCCTCCTGTCCCGTTCCAGCCAAGTGGAGCACCTTGTTCTGCGTTGCTGGTGTAGGAGCAGGAGCCAGGCGTGCGGGGTGGGTGGGTGCTGCCTGGGGCTGAGAGACAGCGGGTGCGGAGCTCTGCAGCACAGCCGGGGCTCACACCAGCTGCCAGCTCTCTAATTATACCTGAGGAGAATCTGAGCAGAGCCAGGGCTGCAGAAAAAATTGGAAAAGCCAGAGCCAATGAGGTTTTGCTAGTTGTTAATTTGTTAGTTTTTAGTAGGAAGTCAAAAGCCTGAATGCCTTTTGGTTTTCCTTTGAACTGGTGTGTGGGTGAGCTGTGTACTGGGCGGACTGGGCCCGGGAGGGATGGGATGTCAGTGGCCTGAGGGAATCAGGGTTGGACTGAAGCTGCTGGGTGGCTGGAGGTCACTGGTGACAGGTACAGCTGCAAGGTGAGGAGCTGCTGTGGTGGCCACTGATATGGAGCAGTGCCTGAAGCTCTGCAGTGCCTGAAGCTCTGCAGTGCCTGAAGCTCTGCCTGGTGCACACCCCTGTGTCTCTTTAGCAGGTGTTCATGGGCTGGAACAGGCAGCAGGATTCAAACGAAGTGGGAAGGGAGAGCAGGTCTCGTGGAGCTGCTGTGGTGCTCAGAGTGAGGCCAGCGGGGGCAGCTGGCCAGGCAGGGTGACACGGAGGTGGCACTGCAGATAGAGGGGACAGAGCCAGAGATGGCAGTTCTGTTCAGTCTGTGAGTGAAGGGTATGGTCAGGTTTTTGCTTGGAGTTTTTCCCCTCCAGCATTTTCCAGTGCAGGTGTTAAAAGAGACAACCTGTCATGCTGATGGTGAGTGACAGTGCTGGCAGAATTTGGGCTGCCTTCCCCAAACAGTGCCACACTGAGTCACAGCACGTTACCAGGCCTTAGGGAGCTAGACTCGTTAAATACCTGCTCCATCTCCCCTTTGCACTGTAGCATCCTCTGGAAAGTGCTGTGTACTGCAACAGCACAACTTCAGGTTGGGAACAGCTCTGTGTACTCCACAGTGGTTCCCTCTGCTGTCCCTGAGGATCTGGATTTTCTGACCCCGGTGCTGGGTGCTCCCAGCTGTGCTGGGGCTGGTTGGGATGCTGCAGGATGTGGGACCTGCAGCAAGGACCTGGGCAGTTCTCTTTCCCCCCTCCTGTCAGGGAGTTGCAGAGAGCGAGAAGGTTCCCCCTGAGCCTCCTGTTCTCCAGGATGAACCCCCACAGCTCCCTCAGCTGCTCCTGCTGCTTCAGCTCCTTCCCAGCTCCATTTTCTTCTCTGGACACTCAAGGGATAACAGACTAAAGGATAAAGCCACAAACCATAGGAACACCTCAGTAATACCCTGTTTATCCTGTGCTAGGTAAAGAAGATTATCCAGGTGAGCCACTGGTAGGGTAACAGGACCTGTCAGTGCTGGGGCTCCTGGGCATTCCCTGGTGTGCTGGGCAAGGTCACAGTCACTGGTGCTGCTCCAAGGACTGCCTTCTGCATATCAAAGCATCCAGGGATTATTTTAAACCCATTTCAGTTTCATGCCCTGCTGCTGAAGGACTTCTGGTCCAGGCTATTAGAAGTGTTAGCTGGTGTGTGCTTAAATTGGGTTGCTGTTCAGTGAATGTAAATCAAGAAAATTGAGTGAAAAGTAGTCATAAGAAGTAATTTCTTAGCAGGTTCCTGTCCCTTGACTTGGGATAAGTCATTCATGTGCTTTCCTGATGTACAGTGGCTGCTGAGGACAGTCAGGGGCTGTTGCTCTCCAAAGCCAACAGGAATAGCAGGGTTTCCTCTGGAACTGGAGGAGCATGTGCCTGGGAGTAGAGAAAACTCAGTGATAGCCAGGGAAGGATTATCTGTGGTCTGTGCAATTTAACCTCATTTCCACATGTCTGGACAGTCCCAGGAGAACACTTGTTACTGCTTTTCCTCTGGAGGTGTCCAGGCTTGGGCAGTGGGGGAGGTTCCACGTGAAGGGAACACCCTCACCTCCCTCACTATTTTTCCAGCGCGTTTAATAATCAATGTTCTTCTAGTACCTCCACAAAAACTAATCTTCTAAAGAGATTTGGAATGCTTAAATATAATCTGCTGCAGTAAGGGTGTCGCTGCATCTATTAGGATGGCACAGGCAGTTCCCTCGCTGGAGCTGAATTATTCATGTGTCTGGCGGGTTTGTGCTGCACCAGCCGGGATGGAGCTGGGGCTGCTCAGCAGTGCTGGGGATCAGAGCCTGCTGAGAGGGGGCCCTGCCTGGAAAAATAGCTCAGCATGAGTATCATCACCTGTGGGATTCACTTGTTCTGTCAGTGCAGACAATCCCCAGCAGTTACAGGGGGCAGACTGGATGGAACCAGATGTGGCTTCAGGTTTTGGGAATGGGGGAAGTGTTGTTGCGTTTTGATGGATTTCTCTGTTGCCCAGAGAAGCTGTGGCTGCTCCACCCCTGAGAGTGTTTAAGGCCAGGTCAGATGGGGCTTGGAGCAACCTGGGATAGTGGAGGGTATCCCTGGGGGGAAGGATTGGATGGGCTGGAAGGTCCCTTCCATCTCAAACCATCCTATGATTCCATGATTCTGTATGCAGAAGGCTTGTTTGTTACTGCTCAGTAATTTGTGGCACTTGGAGGTGTCCTGGGGTCAGCTGTGGGAGCAGCCTGAGGTCAGGCCCTCTGATCGGTGTTGCTGTAGGGGAGTCACTGAAGGTTTCCTTCCTCTCAGTTGGAACTTCTCTTGTGAGCCTTCTGGGCTGGAATTATCTACCACAAATCCATATCAAGCCTTCCAGAATTTTATTTGCCTGGATTAAACTGTTGATAGGGAGGGACAGTTCTCTTCCCTGTGAGGTGAAATGTCTGCTGTGTAAAAAGCTCAGCCTTGGCTCAGTGGTTGGCATTGCAGAAGGCAAGCAAAGACATTTCAGGTGCTGTTCCATTTATGGAGAGACAATCTCAGAATACATTTTTACATTTTAAAGTTAAGATTTGTGTGGAAAAGGTAAGTGATCTCACCTGAGAATAGGTCACTGGTTTACATTCCCAGCTGGAAGGGAACCCCCCCACCCCTCAGTGCCTGAGCCGTGGAGCTGTGCCGGGACAGCAGCCGGAGCCTGCCAGGACAGCCGGGTGCAGCTGGACATGGTTCCTGTTGGAGAGGCTACAGGGGGGACAACCTGGGACCTGCTCCATGGATGCAGCTTCTCCCTGCTTACAGTCTTGTCTTGCAGCCCCCGAATCCTGCCTGGTGGAGGTTTGTGAAACCTGCAGAAGGATCTCTGGGGGGTGTGGGACACCTGCCCCCTGCACCACCCTGCTCTGCACCAGCCTGACTGCCTGGGGTGCTGGGGCCGTGGCCTGGGAGACCACACACCGAAGTGCCTGCCAGCTCAGACCCAGGAGACTTCAATTGTTGGGTTTGTTTAAAAAGCACCCCCCGGTGTCCCCCTGGGCACTGCGGTCACTGCCATGTGTCACCCTCTGCAGTGTGTCTGTCCCAGGGCTGTGTCCAAACCCTCGGTGCAGCCCTGGCTCAGCTGGTGCCCCTGTCCCACCCTCGGGGCTCTGAACTCAGATCTGGTCCATAAATACCTGTCCTCGGGCAGGGCACTCGTGCCCCGTGGCCGTGGTGGGTGGGCAGTGCCGTGGTGCCCCCCGGGCTGTGCCCCCCAGCACAAGGCAGGTGGCACGGGCAGGGACGCCAATGCTGTGCTGGAGGGGACCTGGCTGAGGGTGCCGTGGGGTGAAGGACCAGCCACGCCCCTGGATGGAGCAGGGAGCCATCCCAGGAATGCTGCTCTGTCCCTCTCCCCGTGGGCAGTGCCTGCTGGGGGCTCCAGCGTGTGCTGAGGGGTTGGTTTGTCTGGGGTTTCACCTGTGTGAGCTGCACAAGGGATGAAGCAGCTGAGCTGCAGAGGTGGATTTTCAAAATGACCTAACATCAATAACTAATAATTTGTCTCCAACTGCAGCCCCCACCCAAACACTGATTGCCTTCTCCAGTGCAGTGACTGAGGATTTCACTGTCACAAAAGTCCTGGACCCCTAAAATCACCAACATTCAGATACTGGCATCGCTGTCAGCAAGTCCAGGTATTGGTTACTGTGCTAAAATCTGCTCCTCTCAAAAAGTGAAAATCAGACACTGCATTTCAGCTTCAACACTTGGGTTTTTCTTCTTCCCATGGACATCATGGAGAACTTTTGTTTTGGTTTGGTTTTTTGTGGACTTCAGAGCATAGAAAAGGCAGTGCCCACCTTCCTCTCATCCCTGTGAATAGTTCATTTGCTGCTCTGGCTCAGAGATAAGCTGTGTGTCAACTATGACAAGTTGTACCAGAAGGAAATCAGACCTAGCAGGGCCAGGAATTTTTTTGTTAAAGATGTTAAAACCTGCAGTCAGCTTTGGATCTTAGCAGATGACAACACCCTTGGTGGCTCCTGCTAACTGGAGTCAAGGACTT